GTCTGTGCTGCTGAGAGGAGCTTTTGGCCAATACCTGTAGCAGGTTGTGCTGCTGGAAACCAGGTGGTCTTTCCTGCAAGCCTCTGCCCGCACACTCCTGCCTTCAGAGGCCAGGGTAAGGCTTTTGGGCTGGAATCGATGCTTTTTCCACTTTTCCCAGGCTTGGAACTGAGCAAACCTGCTGGCAGAAGCCCTGCTGCAGCCCCACGTGTTGCCCTCTGGCTCTGTCCCTTTGCAGCGTGTGAGGCAGTGGCAGTAGCTGCCCTGTGCATAGCAAATAGGATTTGTTTGTGCCCAGCAGTTCTTGTTTGGCTTATGATCAGGGGATTTCTAATTTTCACTTGGGATGATGCTGCTTAACACGATCAACCACTGTTAAACTCCCCCTGCTTTTGCTCAGTGCCTGTTACAAGGAGCAGCCCCCAGCAAATGGTGAACCCTTTGAAATGTCTCAGTGAAATTCTTGACAGTAAGTCAGGCTGGTTTATTTCCCTTCTGTTGTGCTTTTTTTATTTTTTAAGACTGAATTTTTAGCTTTTCATTTTGGTGGTTGTCATAAGCCCTGCATTATTTAAGTGGCTTGTTTTAGCAGCTTGAGATAAGCCAGAAATTCACCTTGCTCGCAGGCTACCAGCAGACACGTTTGCTGCCCGCAGGCACAGAGTAGGAGTTGATGCTCTTCTGTCAGTGTAGGTGAGCAACAGTGGTGTTCTGTGTGGGGGAGAGGCTAAAACACAGTGATTTGATGTTGCTGACATCTCTTTCAAGTTGCTCTTTTTTTTCCTTCCCCCCTGATCGTTTGGGACCTCAATTCCTACCTCCCCTGCTTTCTGTCTAGTCCTGTTGCCTTGAGCTGGAGCCAGACAAGAGCACTTTGAGTCTAGTCCCATCTTGGGGATGTGGGAGTTTAAGATTTCAAATGCTGTAAGTGGGGGGGAAAAATACATTACACCATGTTGAGAAGGGGGGGTTCTCCCTTTGACTGTCAGTTTAAATTCCAGCACCATCTGAAGATTCTCATCACAGCACAAATGTGGGGTGGAGGGAGCAGATTTGAGTTCTGCTCCAGTTACTGCAGTCCAGAAACGCCTTCATATATCAGGAGATTAAATATATGCACAGCACCGATGGTGGATATTTTTAGGTTAAGCTAAAAATATGTCATGTGGTGTTTAAAAGGATTTTGAATGGGTTTTGGAAATCCTTGTGTAAGCATTCTGTGTGCTCCTGAGACCTGCTTCACCTCGTAGCAGCTGATCCCTTACCTCATAGTAGTGGTTGGAAGCAGTGGTTTTGTGGATGATATTTTTGCATGTTTGAGGAGCTTGTCTGGGAAGTCCCTGTGACCTCAGCTGTCAGCCTGAGGTCTTGTCAGTTCAGAGAACTGTTAAACCCAAGTCCCTGGTGGGCTCTGCTTTTTCCAGTAGCTGTTATGTTCTTCTCTGAATTCACTGTAGGAAGAACCATAATGGGGAGGATTTTATTGTCTGCACAGTGAAACAGCTTGGGTGTGCTGGGCACTGCCCAGGCTCCCCAGGGAATGGTGATGGCCCCAAGGCTGCCAGAGCTCCAGGAGCATTTGGACACTGCTCTCAGGCACAGGTTGGGATTGCTGGGGTGTCTGTGCAGAGCCAGGAGTTGGATTGATGATCTTGTGGGTCCCTCCAACTCAGGTTATTGTGTGACTGAGTTATGGAGTAATACAGAGGTGAAATTGGGTGGGATCACATCTTCAGCATGGTGGGTCCTTCCTGCACAGTCAGGGAGTGTCTTAGAAGTCATTATGAGAATTTTGTGTCTCCTGGATACTGCTGTAGGGATTCGAGTCCCAAATCCAGCTTGATGTGCTGTGATGCAGGTGGGAGCCTTTTAAGAAAATAAGAAAAAATGAAAAAGTTGGGAAAGTGTTTACCTGACTGCTTTGCTATTAAAACAGTTCAGGTTTCCTGTCCTTGACTGTATTGCAGGAAAGCTCATGGGCATGTGAGAGCCTGCTTAAAGGTAGCCTTATTCTTTGCCTATAAATAGGCTCTGAAATCACTGAGGTAGTGTGGAATAGCTTCTTTCCATCTGTCTTCCTTGCTTTTTTATTATTGTTTATGTAGGGCAAGACCCCAGGGTGGTTTTGATCTTGTTACTTCACATTCTTGGCAGCCTGGTGCTATAAACATGAATAAACTTCTTATTCGTGCCACTAGATGGAACTGGCCCATGCTTATGGATATTTGTTTAAACTACAGCTCTGTATTGAGTATTGACAAAATGAATTGCTAGCTCTTGGTGGAAGCTTGGCTTTTACCCTCAAAGCAGGGCTTTATTAAACTGCTTGGGGTTTTATTCAGTCTGTTTTGAAGTAGGAAGAATTGCCAGTTCTTTCCAGCTTTGGCTTTTTTTTTTTTCAGTTGTTTTTGTGGCCTAAACTGTGTATTACAGCTAATGCTATTTATTATATTCCTGCTTTTAGTCTTTTGGTGATGTGTGCACACTTTTTTCTATGGTAGTGCAGATAGTTTTTTCTCCCAAATTTAATTTCAGATTATTCCCTGTACCTCTTTCTTGCTGCTGAAGGTTGAAGTGTGCAAGTTCTTCTCTACAGTAACTGGAGTAGCCCATAGAAAAATGACCTTAGTTTTGTGGCTTATCCATCATTTGTGGATCTGAACAGCTGGGGTTTAGCCAGCACTGGACAAAGCACCATTTGATCTATTTGGGAGAAGATTTTTTTTTTTCTTGGTAGCTGTGCTGAGCATTTGCAGTGTAGTAGCCAGCCTGTGAAGTAGCCAGCCCTGCTAATGCAACACAAGTCCCTGGAGGGGAGAAATATCCAACCACTCAGCTTTGCTTGGAGCAGATCTGAGCAGACACCTGTCCACCCCTGTCTGCACCACTTGATGCTGCAAGGGCTGATTTGTGGCTCTCACAAATGTCCTTGTTCCTCCCCAGCCAGTCTCAGAGTGATCCTTTGCAGTGTTTGCTTGGTGACCTTGGCCACACTGGGCCTACCCCTGCTTTCGTTTCTCCCCCTTTTAAAAGAAGTGAATTGATTTTGTTTGCTAAAGGAGTCAGGCAGCTAAGGATGGAAAAATGCTATGCAGGGTTAGGTGATTGCTATGCACAAGTACCAGGGAAAATACAGCTGTAATAATGTGTATGTGACCTTTTACAAAGGTCAGAGTTTGCACAAGTTTGCACTTAGAGTGACCCAGCTCCTGAGCTGTAGCACCTACCTGGGATGATGGAACAGCACTTTCATGCCACTCTGGCAAATAAAGATTTATTTCTCCTTATAAGGCAGAAAATAAAAAATCTAGTGGATTTCCAAAATCTTGCTTTTTGGATGTTTTCACAGCACCAGTATGCCCATGATAATCTTGGGGCTGCTTACTGGAATTAGGATGTGCTACAGAAGTATCAGGGCTCGAATACAGGGGCAGTTGCATATTTGTGCTAATGCTGGTTGGAAGAGGCCTCTTGCTGTTCCCTCATCCAATTTCCCACTCAAAATTGGACAATCACCAGATCAAGGATCAGGTAAATGTGGATATTTGTAGGCAAGCCTTGAAATCTTTATGCTGGAGGTTCCCTCTGAAGGAGGTTCCCTCAGGCACTAAGCCCATGATACTGGGCTTTTATAAGTGCTAAATTATACATTTTAATTTTTATTTTATCTTGTGCATCTGAATTAATTTCTTTATTTTACTGTCCTAGCTGCAAATCCTGTTCCCTGCAGGGGAAGTTAAGTAGAATTACTGAGGGGGAATTCATACTGCTCTTGTATACTAGCAAACAGGATTTTATAGCAGACCCACCATTTTCTTCCAGCTTCTGCATCAGTAAATATTTAATAGTACAGATTCCTCTGTGCTGCAATGAGGAGATGAATACTTTCCAATAAAAGGAAAAAACTTCCTTTCTCCTTTCAGTGATCAAGTAGTGCTTGGAGTTCCTGTATGTGTTCAGCCTCTCTGTGATAGTGGGAATGGAGAGCTATAAGCTGATGGAGCATAAAATAGAAACCTCCTGTTTAGTGTGCAGTAATTCCTCTGGCCCCTAATCCTGTTTGTGAGCCTCTGGCCAATTCATTGTGCCTCTCTGAGAACAGGTGGGGGTAGCAAAGCTCAGCTTCAAAAAGCCCAGTCTTGTGAGGGAACCTGATTCCTGTCATGTTCTCCTTTTGGTGTGAGAGCAGATGGTGTTTCCTGGAATTTGTACCAAACCCTTGCTGTAAATCAGGGAAATCTCTTCTTTAAAATAGCAGATGGTGGTAAGGAAGTGTTCTCTGGAATGTTCCTGTGCTGTTTCACAGTGCAGGCACAAGCCACACACTGGCACTGCTCTGCCTGGGGTGCAGCTCCCTTCTGCCACACCAGTAATGTGAGGATTATGGAAGTGAGCTTGGAGCATCTCTGGTGGCTCTGAAGTTGTGCCTCAGCTTGGCAGCACTCGGGGAATTCAGGTTGGGATGATGGTATCCCTGTTGGCTGTTCCCCTCCAGGCTGTGTGTGACTTCCCTGGCACTGAGTGTGACAGGGATGGTTGATCTGGGGATGTGAGATGCAGGTGGGTGTGGGGATGCCCTGGGACAGCTCAGGCAAGGGCGTTCTGCCCCTCTCACCAATTGATGGTGGCAGAAGCTGGACTGTGTGGGTTGGTGCATTGGATTTTTGGTTGGAAACAAGAGGAGGTCCACATACTGGGATGGTTTGAGTCCTGCTTGGATAGAACTGCATCTCTCCTCCTTTTCTGTGATTGCACAGCTCCTCCAGAGAGACTTCTCAGGCCTAATGGCACTCTTCAGTTGACTGACTGTCTTAACTGTTGGAACACAAGATAACAAACATATCTTCTTTCAGGCCCTGAGAGGGGGGCACAGAAAAATACTCATGTGGAGAGACTGCTGGGAGAGCCAGGAGAACCCCTAGCAGCTAAATCTTGAAATAACCCCCTTAGGATGAATCTGAGTTTGCCTGACTACCTTGTGGTTTTATTTTATCTTCCAGTTCCTCATGTGAGCCTGACTGCCATGCTGGGGCATTGACACTCTGGGGTGTAGCTGTTTAAAATGGCAGAGAGAGGTGGGAATGAAGAAGTGATTAACTTGAACAGCTTCAGCAATCACAGAGGGAAAGGTGAGTACTGATCTGTGCCTGTTTCCAAAACACTCTTGTGGAACTCTCCTGAGCAGGAGGATTCACAGACACTGAACTTCCAGGGAACTGCTGGAGGTCTGTTCTGTCACATCACACACTACTGTTACACTGACTTAGCCACCTACAGAAACTCTTTCATGTTATGCAGGCATGCAAAATATTTAGCTCTTGTCTTTCTCATGTTGTACTGCCTCAAGGGAGATGGCTGACTTCTTGGGAACACTGTGTAGAGGTGTTCCAGCAGATCCAAGGAGGATCCATCTTTCTGAGAACCCCGTAGGAGACAGGCTGACCCTAACTTTATGTCCCTATGAGGGCTGTGTGCATTGGCACCCGTTCCCTCAAGAGTGGAATTCAAAATGAGGCTTTCTCTGTATGCCTGAAAGGTGATGAACAAACACTCACACTAAAAAATAAGCCAAAACATGTCAGATTTTAGGGAAAGCATAGTTGTATGTTCTCTGTGCGGTACAAAACCCCTCTATTTCTGCCTTGAATATCTCTCCTGTGTTCCAGCAGCTGTTGAGCAGCATCTGTGTTCCATTCTTGACAAACCTTGAGGCACGAGGTTGTCATTAATAGCAGGGTATCTTCTGCACCCACAGCCACCTTATCAAAGGTACTCCTGCAGTGTCTCACTCTTTCAGAAGAGGCTGAATTCTACAAAGACCCTTATCTCTCTGCTAGAATGCAATGCACTTTAACAAAGAAAATGCAATATCCCTGAGATACTGAAAGTTTAGGATTTTTCTGCAGAAGTATTCCTTACATGCCTTGTTTGTAATAACTTCTGCAGCAGCTTGGCTTGTGCTGGAGTTTAGGATTGAAGATTCTGTGTGAGTGTCAGTGGCTGTCCCTGCAGTGCTGTTGTGATGAGCTGAAGCTGTGCAGGTGTTTTGCTGGAGGCTGAGGGATGCAGGAGTGGTTGTAACAATGTCTTGCAGAGGAATTGGTGACCTCTGAATGCTTCTTCCTGCATTGCAAATAGGAAAATTGCTTTCTCAGCTGTTTCAGTGCTACATGTGCCCTGTAATTCTACTTATTTACCTTGAGCCAACAGCTAACTTCAACTTTACTTACTGTTCTGCAGACTGGATAAACCACAGAGATGAAAGTCTTATCACAATATCGGATTCCTCGGATGAAGATTTGCCTTTGTTGCTGGAAATGCCAGAAAAGCAGCAGACTGAGGAAGATGATGATGATATAATCATCTTAGCAGAGGTAACTTTTCATTGTTGCAGCTGCTGTGCTGTGTTCATGGCCTGTATAGCCAAGTCTCGTGCCAATACCTGATGCATTCCTCTGAGTCCTGCCTCATTATAGCAATCTACTTAATAGTCTGAAATATCAGTGAGATTATGGTATTTTGCTGGCATTAATTTATTTAGTCTTATTTTGGCTACAGGAGAGGAGAAACAGTCTGTAGGAACTGCATTGTGTAGTTTAAGATGTACTGATGAAGGCTGTAGCTCCCATAAAGTCATCTGTTTGAATCCAGCAATATGGAGTGCTTTGCAAGAGGACTTGATCTTCCATAAAATGTTTTCAAACCATGCCTTGTTTGATTTATATATGTGCTCTGTATGCTTCATATTTCTCTATGCTATTTGCATTCACGTTGGGCTGTTGCAGGCACTGACATTTTTGCAGCATTTCATATCTATCTTATATTAAGAATATATGCCACTTTCCTGTGAAACTAACCAGAAGCACTGAGAAAATGGGTTGCAAAGCTGACCTTTCTGCTTCTTAGTTGAAAAACAGCAGCAGAGAACACTGAGGCTCTGTTGGCATACGGCAGTCTGTCTGCCAGAGATTAATATTTGGAGCTTTGGTTCCTGCCTGTTTAAATAAATTGGTGATAACACAAATATGTCATCAGTTAGCTCTTCCTTCCCAGACTATTGTACTGGAAGGGAAGTGGATACTGAGGTGAGCTTAGGAAATTATTCCACTCTGAAAGTCCTGTGCATCCCCAGTTCTGCCAAAGGTTCTTGTGGCACCTGGGTTGCAGGTGATGATGACACAGATGTGTGGGTTGCAGTTCTGTGCTTTATTAAGCATCTTGCTGAACAGACTGCTTATCAGTTTCCTATCAGAAGTTTTCTTAGATGCAGAACTATCTGGAGCAAGGATTCTGACACGCAGATAAAAATTCCTACTTTCTCTTGTTGCTGTTCTTTTCAGACTGCAAAGCAGCAGCCTCTGCGTCCCAATGTCATCAGACCTGCTGCTCCATGGCAGGGTACAGATGCTGTGGGAGAAGGAGGATCCAAAAGTGCTGTGGAGTCTTTGAGCACAGACCTGCAGAATTCAGCTCTGCCCTGTGAGGGAGATGGGAATAACCTCACGGTGGACAGCAGTGCTGGACCAAGCAGGGAGGAGAGTGTGGATGTTGCCTTGCAGCAGCCAGGACCATCTGAGCTGAGTGGCCCCAGGTCTGAACTTACAGGTAACCAGGAGCCTGGCCCAAGTTTGCTGCCACTGATCAAGATGAGTCCACAGCCTGCTGATAACACAGAAACCATTAGTCTGGAGAATGCAGACCTTCCACCTCAGCAGGAGGAAAGGATGGAAGCTCGAGAATGGCGAGGAGAGAACTTGGAGCCAGAGCAGAAACTTGAAGGAATAGCTGCTAAAACTACCACGGAGCCGGAGGAGATCCAGGAGAAGGGCCAGCAGGAGCCCCGGCACTTCCCACCGCCGGAAGATGAGCCACGGGCTGTGGCGAATGGCCGTGCTCCTCAGCAAGGGCAGCCAGAGGCAAACCCGGCCTCTCTGAGGGCTCTGCAGGCTCCAGGGCCAGCCTTCCCCCGGCCCGAGCCGCAGCAGGACGGCATCCCCGGCCCGGCCTCCCCGCAGCCGGCACACCCCCCTGAGGAAGCGGCTCTGCAGGCAGGGAGGGACAACGAGCAGCCCGGGCCCGCCTTCCCCGCTCAGGGCTCGCAGGAACTCGGCTCGGGGGATGTGCCAGAGCAGGGAGCTGCTGGGCAGGAGCAGGACCTCACTGCGCTGCTCATCAGAGAGACAGTAAGTATTCCCAGGGCTCCTCTGCCTCCTGTGTGCCTGATGTTTTCAGACAGGTTTTGCAAGGTGTGTAGAGTCTCACATGCTCAGAGCACACGGCTGCAAATCCTCTTTGCTTTGGCTGAGTCTCAGCCATGCACCAGGTGAGGAGCATGTGATGAGCTGTCATGGAAAACTTTCATTTAAGGTGAAACAATTTGTGTCTGTTCCCTGAAAGTCCTCTTGGATCTGGTCTGGTTTTATCTGGTTTCCTAACCCAAAACTGTAGAGCTGGTTTAGGATTGGATATAAAGCTAAATGAGCAAACCTGGGACACTAAACAGTGGCAGAGGGATACAGGGTGGAGTAGAGAAGTTTTAGAGACACGTGGCTGAGAGCCAGGACTGCTTTCAGCTGCCTCTCCTCCAGGAATGTGGTCCATGCCCATGTTCATGTCACCATGGTGGCCAAGGGTAAGGGTTGCCCTTGCAGTGTGGATTTCCAAACATCAGCACCAAGGAGTAACTGGATAAGCACCGTGAGGAATTGTGTATGTAAACTCCACATGCTCCATGTGTGAAGCTTAGCATGAGGGACACGGGCTATGACAACAGCCACCAAGGACTCTCCTTATCCTTTGGTATATTCAGCAGCTTGGGCAGCATGGTATATATGTGATAAGCTAAAAAAATTGTGGTGATTCATGTGTGTGATGTTTGCACACCCCTCCCCTTGATTGCTAGGTAGGGCTTGTTGAATATTTTTTCTTGCATATGGGCATGTTCTTATGTGTCTGTATATTCCACCACCACCCCATCCCCTCCAGTCTTCCCTCCACTTGCCATATCTAATTCTACTTGGGAAAGCTGGAGCTGAGGAAAATATTTTTTTAAGTAGCAGTCTTACAAATTCAGTTCTTTCCAAGTAAGACCTCGTTGATCAGTGCCTTTGAGATGGGTAAGAGGCTGTTCTTGCAGTCCAGTCTTGCAAAGCAAAATACCACATGGTAGCAGTACCTGTACAGAAACCCCAGAGAGAGCAGCAAACACTGGGGGAGCCTTCACAGAAATGCCACCAAAGGTTTGTTGTCTGTTCTGCTCTCATTGCTGGTGTGTCTGGGTTTATTGGGTGGGTGTGCTTGCTGTTGGTTTATTTTCTTTTGCTTTGGAATGTAGTATTTCAGCACATAATCTGAACTCCTTGCAGAAGGTAAATATTCCCTTATGTTGTAGTTCATTCCTACAGAGCCTGAATCTCTCTAGGCCAGGTGCTCTTGGCTTTTGCCCTCACTCTTCCTTTGAGAAAGAGCTGTTAGCAGTCATCCTGTGGAGCAAGGCTGGATGGCTGTAAAGGATCTCTTGACCCTTTTGCCCCAAGTTTCAGGATTGTGTTGGTTAATTACATGTAATTATGCTGTGTCTGTTACACAGCTTCTCTAATACCTACATAACCTTTAGCTTTTCCTGTTGTAGGAAGCAAGATTCCCAGATGTGAAGAAGGAATATATTGAAGAATTAATCATCATCAAGAACTGCTGTGACTTAAATGTGTAAGTATAGAGGCAAGAACCACAGTGTGTCATACAACTGCAGCACTTTCCCATGTCCCCCACCTGCCAGGGATCCTGCTTTACAGCAAATCCAGGCTGGGCCTTCAGCACTGCCTTGATAGTGCCACAGAGCACAGATTCTTTTTTTTTGTTGTTGTTGTTTTTCTAATTAAGGTGGTTTCAAGTCCTTTCTAGTTATGTTGTGCTGTAGCTTCTCTGCTTTTAAGATCATTTACTTATTTAAAGGTAGTACATATAATTTTGTCTCACCAATTACTAGGGTTCTTAAAAATAATGAGTGTCAGGATTAAGGTGTTAAGATGACTGCTATAAAACATAGTATGGAGATGGGTTGGTGAGTTTTGGGTTGAAGGAAATCATTCCCTCCTTCATTTCACTGGTTTTTGGACTTTTCCAGGTAAAGTTGTCACTGGATTGGAGTAAATTATTTAGTGTCATGATGTTGGCTTTTATCCCATTTACTTGCTCAAGTAGCAGTGGTGCTGTTTGAATTCTCTCACATCACTTTTTGGGGATAGAATGGAGCAAACACATTTAGGATAGGATTGGTTGTAGAGATCTGATGAGGGACTAATTTTGTTCAAACTGAGCAGAAACGTGAGCAAGAAAATGAAATAAAAGGAAAGGAAAAGTAATGTGAGGACTTGCTTTCCAAATTGCCTTAATGTTCATTATGCTGGAGATTTCTGGGAGTCATGTTAGAGTCAGAAGTTTAAAAAAAAAAGTGATTAACCTTACAGCTGAGTTGCATCATCTCCCTGCTCTTCTGGGGAGAGCTGGGGAGCAGAGGATTGCGTGTGCTGGCACCAGCAGCTCCGAGGGGAGATGGTTTGAAGTAAATCACTTGTGACTAGGGTCTGATGCTTGGTGGCCTCTCTTTCTCCCTCTGCAACTGTCTCTGTTATCTCCAGCATGTCCAGACTGGTTACTGTGTGATCCAAGAATGAGGAATAGGTGTTGGTTGCCAGAGTATTCATTTGTATAAATCCAATGCCCTTTCCAGCTAACTAGGGCACTAATTAAGCAGCATTTAAGTGCATGAGGCATAGAATTAGTCAATGGGCCATAAGTAAGTTAACTGGTGAGGAACTAAGGATGATCCCATCCATTGGGCACAGATTTCCTATTCTGCTGCTTTGCCTGTGCTGTGAAGTTGTGTCTCCCAAGTAGGGCTTCTTGGTTAGAAAGTCAACAGACTAGAACTTCTTTCTGGTGTTTCAGAAGTGCTTTCCCTGCAGTGGTGGAGCAGCTTTGGGGTGCCCACACCATGGACTGGGTGCACCTCAGGGTGGATGGCTGTGGTGGGAATGTAGATGACAAGCAGAGGCATTCCTTGGGGCAGTTGGGCTGTTGAAGGTGTGCATCTGGCTGCAGGACCCTCCGAGATTGTGTGAAAAAACTCGGGTTTGTGTCCTGGGGGGATTTAGCAAAGCCTGATGGAATTAAATCCCACTATTGGCTTCTGTCAGTCTTAATGTGTTCCTTCCCTTTTTGCCCCCGAAATCTTTTCTCTCCCATTGTGTGCCACAGACCCAGTGAGATGAAAAGGTGCTTCTAGGCTTCCCTGTAGGCCAGCTACAGTGTCTGCTCAGCGGTGCGTTACCCACTTACTGGATGATAAAGATTTCTTCTCCATATTTTTATTCCTTTAACCAAACCATCTTTTGAGTTGTCACTGCAGCTTTTGTGTGAGAACAAATGGGTCAAAGCACTGGTCAGCCTCGCTGGCAGGGTCTTTTTGATCTCCATGGTGTGTCAAGCTGAATCAGGTTTGAAATATAATAACTAAGGGTGAGTGGTTTTGGGCAGGGGCGAGGCTTTTAACCAGCTCTGTGTCCTGTGGTGCAGATATTAATGAACAGTGCCGTGAGTGTGGGTGTGCTGTGCAGCAGGACCCACTTAACTAATTGTCACACACTGGAGGTCAACGTCCCCCAAAATCCTCAGCGTTGAAATGGCAACATGCAGGAGAGTTCAAATGTACCCTGGGCATGCCCCAGCTGAAACCCTTTCCTTAGAGCCATGATCTGAGCTCCTTGAAGTTTCTGTTTTGTTGGATTAAAACAGTTATCTTTTACCAAAGGGATGGCAGGAGGTGGGAGCTGGAAGCTATTAAATGCTCAGTGCCAAGATATTTGTTGTTTTCCCCCCAAAATGATCTTCTTAAAACTTTCAGCTGATGTGAAAGGTAAGATGTGGGAGCCCCTCTTAGCAGGGTGTCATCTATTCAGCTTTTGTGTGCAGGAGCATTCACACTCAGTCAAAAGCTTCTGGCTCAATATGTCAATACCTGATTAAACAAAAAGAAATGCCCCTGCTTTGAATGTGAAAGCAGAGCTAAAGTAATCGTGCCTTGATATTTGGTTAATGCTTCAAGCCAGTTCAGATTTCTTAATTAGGGACTGATTTCTGACATCAGGAATGTAAATTAGCTGCAATTATATCTTTGCTGCAGCCTAGCACCTTCTCATTCCAATAGTTTTACAAATGTTAATTGCTTGTCCTGGGTCTTTTCAGAAGGATCTTATTCTGCAGCTGGGGAAACTGAGGAACAGCTTGTGTTACTTGCTCCAGCCAGCACAGCTGCTTGGTGAGGGTTGAGAAAAAGCTGTGGGAGCCTGATTTAGATGCCCTTTCAGAAGGGTTTCTGGAGTATTTGTGGTTCTCCACCAATGGAGCATTTGAAAACCCCTTGCTGAGTCTTTCCTAAGCTAAAATACTCAGTTAAACTACACTTGCCTGACAGTTATGACTGTGGTAGAACCTCAGATGTGCTGCATTTACAGGGGCTATTAGGCAAGTTTTCAGCAATTTTAGTGGTTATTTTCTAAGTGCTGTTCTCACCAGACCAGCTTCTAGTGGAATTTGGCTGATGCTGGTGTTATTGCAAGCTTTGTTACAATTAAACCAGTATTCAGAGTTTTTATTCTATGGAGAAACACATCTTAAACATGCTTTTGCCTCTGCTTTAATCATGGAATCACAGAACAGTTTGGGTTGGAAAGGCCATTTAAAATCACCTTGTTGTAGCCCCTCTTCCATGGTCAGGGACATCTTCCACTAAACTATGTTGCTCTGGCTGCTTTAATGTGAAGGTAGACTGAGAAATGAGGCCTTGATTCGAGTTTGACTCTGTAATAGTTTGTTGAGGAAGACCTGACCCTTTTATGGGTTTTGTAGGGATTTTTGTGGTGCTTTTTTTCTATAGATGATTAGTAGCTCATCCATAAAAGCTTCATGTATGTAAACTTAATTATTGAAAGTCAAACCTATTTGCTTTTCCTTCTGCAGCCACACAGCTGATTATTTTTCATTTAATTCTCAGTCATTTACTTGCATTTTGCTCTAGTCCAGGACCACCCTTGATCCTCACAGGGCAGGTTTTGATTGTGACCTCATAATTACCTGATAGTAAAAACTGGACAAATGAAACATAAACGTGAGCTCGCCAACCCTGAAGTAATTATATTTATCTTTTCAGACTTTGTAACTTTCTTCTGGAAAATCCAGATTACCCAAAGAAGGAAGGCAGAGTGGTGTTAAACCCCAGCAGCAGCCTGCTTGCCAGCCAAGATGAGACAAAGGCAAGTGAGAGTATCCACATCTCCTGCTGCCTCTGGGCAGTGTGTTCAGCCTGAGTGGACCTTGGGATGTCTGCTTTGATTAGTGTGTGTTTGCAGAGTGCTTGACTGAGCCTGGCTTTCACTGGAGGCCTCTGGGTATGTGTAAGGCAGTGTTAAATAGCAATAATTAGTTGCTTGCAAGATGACTTCCAAGCCTTTCCTGTTTGGCTATGCCAGAGCTGCACAGTGTCTGCTCCTTTGCCTCCAGCAAGCCCCTCTGCCCTGCCTGCCTGTCACTGCCCCATCTCAAGTGTTCATTTTGATAACTGAGACAAGAATTCCACAATCATTCTGTCGCATGAAGTAGCCTTGGCCCTCGGGTCTCTCCTGTGAGACCTTTAGGCATTGCCCTGCAGCCTCCTAACTGCAAATCTCCCTACGGGTGCTTGATTTTATTTGTGTTTTAAAACATCCATTTAACAAAAAATTCTCTCTGATCTGCTTTGAGGATGTTGTGTGGCGTGAGAGAGATGTTGAATACCTCTTTCTACTCTGGACCTTGTGCAGGTCACCTGCAGAGGTGCCTGGGCCAGTAGGCTTTGCACCCACACTGTGCTAAGGTGCTCAGAGTTGGGTGCCACATACTCTGAATTTTGGATGGTCTTGCAGAATGTCATGATCACTGAGAGCATTTGTGGCATTACTGTGTGTATTTACAGCATCCTTTTAATCCTTTCCATTTTTCCCTTAGGTGCCTAAAGTGGACTACTTTGACTTTTCCAAACTTGCCCCCCTTGACCAGCGGTGCTTTATTCAGGCAGCTGATCTCCTCATGGCAGACTTCAAAATGCTGAGCAGCCAGGACATCAAGTGGGCACTGCACGAGCTCAAGGGGCACTATGCAATCACACGAAAGGTGCTCCAGTTCAAGTCTGTTTTCTTTCCTGGGCTTATCTCCCGTGTCTGCAGAGAGCACTGTGATGACTTTGGCCATACTGTACCATCTGCTGCTGTGTGGTTATGGGTTTTATAATAATCTTCCTTTCCTTTTAAGAAGTTTTAATCCATTTAGTAGAGATTTTCAAAATTTATTAGCCAGACAGAATGCTGCAGGAAGTTTTTACTTTCCCTAATAGGAGAGCTGAGGAAACAAGAGCTGGCTCATGGTGGGTGATACATGAAACTGAGAAGTGTTCCTGTATGTCATCACTGAAGTGCAGTATAATTGCCAATAAACCCCTGACATTTAGTTAAAACATTTAACTGCTGCTGCTGGTTAACTGGCTGCATAGAATTAAGAAGTAGCCAATCCTGCTTTGCCTTATTATAACTTGTGGCATGAGTCCTGTATTCTTTATAAAAGAGCTTCACTGTCATGGAGATGCAAAGGCACTTGTTTGAAGTATCAGCAAACTGAATGTCATTGTGGGTTCAAGTTTTTGACTTAGATCTGTTCCTCTGATATGCCCTTGCTGAGCTTGTTTCTCTACTGTTCCAGGACTTAACTAAAACAAAAGTTGTTGTCTGTTCTCTTGTTTGATTGAGCACTGAGTATTTGAACCTCACCTTTTTAAACAAAAAGCCAAACCCAGCAACAAAAAAAGAAGTCAAACCAGCTCTGTTTAATACAGCTGGTGCTCACTTTGATATTAACAGCTCTGCTGTTATGAAGTATCATTCACTTGCTTTGTTTTATGGAATAATTACTTTGAGTACATAAAGCAGCAAGGTGAGCAGAGGAAAGATATATATTTGCCTCTCTTTAGATTTGACTGATCCAGTTTTGGATCAGTCCTATGCCTATGTTTGTACTGTGCTTCAGCTTGAATTAAGTGCTCCTGCTTTCTTCCAGGCACAGGATTTAAGCCTGTATGTTGTTTTCTAGGCCTTTTCAGATGCTATCAAAAAGTGGCAGGAGCTGTCTCCTGAAACCAGCGGGAAACGAAAAAGGAGGAAAGAAATGAATCAATATTCTTATATAGACTTCAAATTTGAGCAAGGTAAATGCCAAGCTGTGTATCGTGCTCTCTGCATCATTATTGTAGGCAGAACTGGCTTGCAGCTGAAAGCAACTCTTGAAAGAGGATGTGGTCCCAAAAGAGCTGAGTTTCTGCCACTGGTATCTGTTTTGGAGATGCTCCTCATTAGCACCTCTGCCTGGTAGAGTGCTGTGTGAGCTGCTGAAAGTCTGCAGCTGGTGGTGTATGCAGGAAGAAGGATTTAAACTTTGTTCTGGCTGCTCCATCCCTTTTTATTGAGCTTTTAACTCTGCTTCAGGGGATGTGAAAATTGAGAAGCGCATGTTCTTCCTGGAGAACAAGAGACGGCACTGGAGGACCTATGACAAGCTCTCCCTTCTCCCACCTGTGCGACTGGAGCAGGAATTCTATGAGCAGAAAGTGAAAGAGATGGCAGAGGTGAGTGATAAGAGCTGCTTTGATCATGTGCAAATCTTCAACAACTGTTGAAGTTTTGGCCCTAAACGTGAAAAATCTGTCTCTTACAGTAATTCAAACACTGAACCAAATATTGAGTTATTATGTTTTCCCCTTCCCTACCTGTTACACATATGTCTCTTCCCAAGTAACTCAATTTTAAAGGAAAGAAGCCAAGCACAGAATTTCCTATTTACGTAAATATGCAGCTGCTGCTTGTGCAAACAGCATTCTGCAGGGGGGGTTTTGCTATGAAGTGGTGAAAACTCTACTAATTAACTCTTTCCTCTAATTGTTAGCAAGCTTCTCTGCTGCTTTAGGGTTTGTAAGTGCAGCTCAGTGTTGGTGGTGAGTAATGGCCAGGCCCAAGGCAGAGTGTCCACTCACTCTGCCCTCCCCAGGCTGGCAGTCCTGTGGCTCCAGAAGGGTTTGTCCTGTGCTGAGAATTGGGTATTTTGAAGCAGAACCTGCAACACCTACTTGCTGTGTTGTCTTCCTCTCCTAGGCTGAGGAAAGACTGAACTCACAGCTCTGCACCCACAGTCCTTTCTAAAGTAGCTCCTTAAAGATCCTTGTCTCTTAGGCAGATGGATAAGGTCTCCTTTGAAACAAAAAGCTCATGTTTTCTTGAGGGACCCATTGGGTGAGATCATCTCTCCCCATGGAAACCTGAACCCCACAATACAGAATTTGGTTCTTTGTTCTTGCTGCCTGTGCTTCTCCCATCTGTTTTAGCTGAATCATAAATAGCTTAATGGATTGGAGGGATGGGCTGAGTGATGTTACAAGCAGACAGCAACCCTTTTATGGTGGTTTGTGAGTCCTGAGGTAATGTAAATGAGTGGAGAGTTTGGAAAATTGCTTTATCTATTCTGTAAATATAGATGTACATGTTTCTTGCAGCATGCAGACTTCCTCCTGGCTCTGCAGATGAATGAGGAGCAGTATCAGAAGGTCAGTATCTATAATGTTATAAGTTGAGTTCAGCTTGTGCACAGGCACTGTTTTGCACTTCCTCCTTCACAGATCCTTTTATCTCTGGAATGGAGCTTTTCTGAAGCTGCATTTCACTGTGCTGCTTTTGCTGAGCTGACAAAACCTGTGTAATGCTTGTTGGCTGACTTTTAAGAAAGGTAGACAGGAGCTGAGGCCAGCAAGACGGTATTGATGCATGTAATGATCTGTAGTAATTCAGCTTGTATCTTCACTGCTCAGAACAAACATTGCAACAGAATAGCATCAGGTTTGCTCTCGTTCTTGCCATTATGGATGTTTAAAACAGATACACTGTTGTTGGAGTTTGGCCAGTGGGAAGACCTTCCTTGTTTGCAGAAAGAATCCTCTAAAAACCTGAAAATCAGCTCTTCTGCTTCAGAGAAAATGTGGAGAGCAGTTCAGCAGCTGTGCATTACATTTTGGTTTCAGTGCTCATTTCCTTTTCATACTTTGGAAAAGTGGGCTCTACTTACTTTTTAACAGTTGCAAATTTCTCTGCCCCCACAGTTAAGAGGCCAAGGCAGGGTGTGCCCAGGCAGATGGCAAATGTTCCTTTAGAGAGTAATAGATCTGAATCTTGGTTTTCCCCACGAGAGTGGTGTGTACACTCAAGCTGCTTCCCTGTGACTACAGCTTCCCAAACCCAAGATGCTGCTCTGCCTGTGAGCTAAGAGTTACTAATCACTGCATGTTCTGTAGCTTTTTGGAACCTGTCAAGCAGGACATGTAGACACAAAATTACTTAAACTCAGTGAGTTTCTGATTGCACTTAGGGAACTTAGACCACCAAATAGGATATCTAATGGAATGGTGTATATCTGTAGCTGTTTTTTAGGATTAATGCTGGCAATTTTTTCTGGCTTGCAGTTGTGTGTGTGTTGCTATAGCTATTGATGTTTTGATGCTGATTCCTCTGGTGGCTGCAGGACGGGCAGATGATCGAGTGCCGCTGCTGCTACGGGGAGTTTGCCTTCGAAGAGTTGACTCAGTGTGCAGATGGTCACTTGTTCTGCAAGGAGTGCCTAATTAAATATGCTCAGGAGGCAGTTTTTGGCTCTGGGAAGGTAAGGATTTCATAACTGGACAAGGGGGGAAATGGGTAATTGCTGTTGGGAGGTAACATTGCTGTTTGTGTAGTGTTGTTACTTAAAACAGATGTAACTGCACTTCCCAGGAAATGTTTGAATGGAATGGTGTCCTAAAATCCAAGTCAGTCTTGCCATCAAGTGAAGCCAACTACTTCACAATGTGATCTTTGCACAGGATTTCAGGGTTCCTAACCTCCATTTATTTTGCCATGCTTAGCAGTTTAATTGTTATGAAAACTCTACACAGTGCTCATAGTAAAACAATAACTTGTTTGGCTTTTATTTTCTACTAAATAAACCTGTTGTATCTGCACAGAGACTAATCTCTGACTTGGCCTGTCTCCTTTTACCTAAGAGTGTTTGTCCCTCATAATATCACTGTAATCCAGACTTAATTGGGGGGTTGGTTCCTCTATGGTACTACTAACCTCCTTAGTCTCTGATTTAGCTAGCAATTATTCTGGTACTTAGTTGAGCTATAAACAGGTCATTAACCTGCTCTGAAGTGTGTCTTCTCCTTTGCCTCAGGATATGATGCTCAAACTGTGGGATGCTGTTGTACTCTGGGATCTATTTCATGTAAATGTATAAACTGGCAGCTATATTTTATATGGCTTTATTGAAAAGAATGTAGTGTGTGAGTGCTGGTTCTCAGCAGAGACTGAACAATAGCAATGGGCTGGTATATGGTCACAGTGGACTTGGGGTGAATTGTGATCCTAGCTGGCAACAGCATCTTCCTGCCAGTGCTTGTTTGAGTCCTAGTTTGTTTAATTAGGCTTGATCTTTCCATAGCAAACCGTTCTCTGGCAGTCATCTTAGGTAGATTTATATGAGATATTGGGGAAAAAACATTATAGGGCACTTGCACATATTATCCAGAGAAGTTGCAGTTACCCTATCCCTGGAAGTGTTGAAGGACAAGGACGTGGAACAAGCTGGGATAGTGGAAGCTGTCCCTGCCCATGACAGAGATTTAGAACTGGATGATTTTTAAAATCCCAAAACCCAGGTCATTCTGAAATCTGATGCCTTTAGCTGTTACTCTGTCTGAGCAAGGCTCTGGACTGATTTGCTTGGAAATGTTCTGGATCCTGGGTTGCTTTTTGCTAGTGTCATACTGAACCTGAGCCCTCTTTCCAACCCCAGTCAGAGCTCAGCTGCATGGAAGGCAGTTGCACATGTTCCTTCCCCACCAGTGAGCTGGAGAAAGTTCTTCCAGAGAACATCCTCTGCAAATACTACGAGAGGAAGGCCGAGGAGGAGGTGGCTGCTGCCTGTGCAGATGAGCTCGTCAGGTGAGTGTCCCACAGAGAATGCTGCACTGAATGCTGTGGAAAATTGTTCCCTGGAACCTCACGGTTGTGCTGACTCTGAGATAGGTAGCTTTTAAAGAGCTGGATTATAAATTCAGTCTTCTGCCTTCACAGGTCTGTTTTTATTCTGCCTTTGACTAGGAGCAGATTAAAATTCAATAGACTTGTCTCCCCCAAGACTTGCTTGCCAGCTCTGTGCTGATCCACTAAATTACATGGTCAAAAGCAGTGCTGAGCATATAATATTTTGATTGCAAACGGGGAAGTGATTGAAGAAATACGAGCAAAAAGGCAATAGTCAGCACATCCTGGCAACAGGCATTGGGTTGGCAGCCTTAGCAACTTCCATGCAGCTATTTGACTAAATCAGCTTTCAGCAAAGCTATGTTTGGCACTCTGCATTAATGGCATCTTGTTCTGGGCTACAGGTGTCCCTTCTGTAACTTCCCAGCTCTACTGGACAGCGATGTGAAGCGGTTCAGCTGCCCCAATCCCCGCTGCAGAAAGGTAATTTGGGCTCATTTCACATTTGGTCTCTTCTGGAATGTTGGGCAAGAAAGCTGGGAGGGCAACTCACCCTTCCTAGTGGCAGTATCTCATGTGGCTGCATAGGGCAGTAAAGTGTTTGCTGGATTCTACTGATCTTCTATAAAATTGGGTGCCTCGACAGGTGAATTTCAGGGCACTGTTGACAGAGGGGAGGTGTCCTGTCTTTTCTTGGAAGATGTTGGCTAAAAAAGCCAATAGAATGTTAAATTTTTTTGTCTGGAAAGTTGAAGTTGCCAGCACTGAACTCTGGTGTGAAAATCGAACTTACTTTGGAGGAGAAAGCTGTTTGTGAAATATGCACAATTCCATTTTAGATTCTAATCTTTGGATAGGTTTTGTTATCGTCTACCCTTTACAATGGGGAAGGGAATGTCCCAGTGTTAGGGCAAGGAGGTTTGCTAGGCACTAGGTGGCAATGTTGATTCACGTTTAAATCTCAATTTTTTCTAACTGTTTCTGCAAAAGCCGAGCTGTTTTCAAATTGTACATATGTCAGCACTAAAAAACAGAATTTGGGCTTGAAAAACATGAATCTTTCAATGGGCAAAGTGAATTGAAGCTGCTTTTTCCCTAAAATGTGTAATGCATTAGAGTAACCGTTGTAAGAGGGACCAGTGCTGAAATGTTCCTTTCCTACTGCTTCACTGTTTCATTTCCTTCCTAGTGTACTGCCTGTTCCCCCCTCTCCCTGGGGTTACAGCATTCCAGTGGGCTGGATTTCTGGTTTCCTGGACAGCTTGTGTTGATTCATTAGCTGAAAATCTGCTGAGTAGCTTTGTGCTCTTCTTAGAAGTCTTTAACGACTTTAGGATTTGAAGTAGAGGGTGAGGAATTTGGATAGCAGGATGTGGTGTCTCAGCATCAGCTGCAGTGGTTCTTCATATTCCTGCTATCTCCTCTCTCTCCAGAGTGAAGAATTTCAGTTAATGCTCGTGCTTGCAGGAAATGGTTGCCCTAAGGGAGGAAAGGGCTAATCTAGGGAACTCCACAGAGCTTGGAGAGGATGCATTGGCTTTGCTAGCAGTGCCTCTGGCAGACTTGCTGGTGGTGATGACTGATCCTGGAAGGAGTCCCTCTCTGCCTGGAAGGACTGCACTCACACAGCTGAACCTAAAGCAAGGGGAAGGTCAAAATGTGTTTCTTCCAAAATCTCAGAGTTCTTTGAGGGTGGGGAGAGGAAGACCAGATGGTGGACCTGTTGTATCCCTGTGCTCCATCACCTGGATCCTTTGTCTGGCTTTGGGAGTTTGTTTTGATACCCTCGGGGTCTCCATTAAGTCTTGCAGGGAGGTTCATTCATATCTGGGCCAGCTATGGATATGTTGTAAAGTAAGTGATGTGAACCAGCTGCAAGCCTTCACTTTGGCTGTGTGCTGTATGCTGGGCTCAGCAGTAAGAGCTCTACACATATCCAGGTCACTGTCTGTGCATCTCACCTGTAGTTCCAGTCATTTACACCTTGCAGGGGCCAAAATGTGGCCAATTGTAACTTGAGCAGTGGGCAGAGCTGCCCTGCCTCCTGTGAGTGCCCGGCTGCACGGGGAGCATTCAGATGAGCTGGCACCATCTGCCAGGGCCACTGTGGCTCCAGCTGTGTGGTGTCAAGTTTGGCTCCTGGTTAGGTGGCCAGGGCTTGAATCTTAATATGACAAACAGCAGGGTGGAGGAAAAGCTAAGTTAGCTAAGGAAAAAGACCACTTATCTCCAAGCCACCCTACAATGCATTCTCTGTGTGTGCAGTCTGAGCTGGTGCTGGGGCAGAGGCAGCTTGCACTCAGATTTGGCTGAGTATTGAGGTTTTGCTCTGTCATAGGCTGCTGATTGCACATGGAGCCAGGCTTCCTGGTGATAGGAGGATTTCCTAGACCTCCATCTTGGGGGGATCCCTGCATGGAAGCAGCATTCAAATTTCTCACCTCTAAGGGTGCACATTTCTCCTCCCAACGCTATACAGCAACCCAAAACTGGCAACTGTGGTAAAACAAGGAAAGGCACATGTTGCTGGTTGAGTTGTGCAGCACTGGGAGGTGAGGGTGCACTTCTGCATGGTGGGGGAAGTGCCCTTTTCCACCAGAAAAGGAAGTCCATCCTCTCTGCTCAGCCTCCCTCCTCCCAAGACCCCACAGTGTGGAAGACAAGGCTTTTGTTCCCAGCTGCTGCTGCCGGCCCTGGCGCCGTGTTGTGGGAGAGGGAGATGGTTTCCCTTCTTTGCAGTCTCAGCACAAAGCACTGCAGGGCTTTCAGCCAGCAAGAGATGGGGAGCTGAAAGCTGCTGTTGCCATGGAAATAATGCATGCACGGAGCAGCAGAGAGCTTGAAACGCCCAGTACTCATTTCATAGCCAGGCCACATTGCAGGGACTTGCATTTCCAAGAGTTTTCCTTAAAACTCCTTTTCACAGCATGGAATTTTTATTGCTTTGTGGTACCCAGTTGTCTGTGTCAGTGCTGGCTGGGTGTAAGAGGTGATGGCATATGGCTGCATGGTGTGGGATGGCAATGTCCTTGGCCTGGGCAGCTGCCATTCCTGTGCATCCACAATGGGTTTGGGGAGTGCCTTGAGCACTGATGTGCCTATCTCAGATGGATAAAATTTCTGCTCTTTTGCCTTTCATCTTCAGCTTAGTTTCTCTGGCCACCAGCAATCCTCATGTTGTTTTAATTAGCAGCACTGAGACTTGGTGTTTTAGGGCACGCCTTTTTAAGCTGTTCTGTGTCTCGGGATTGATTTGGAGGTGCTGGCTAGGAACAGATGCACCCAGCTGCTTTTAGCCTTCATTTTCTGCTGGAAGAGAGGCAGGTTTAAACTTGCACCGAGCTGTGCCTGAACACGACCGCTCTTAGCAGGGCACCACCAGCACTGGTAACGAGCACGAGTCACACTGAGTGGTTTGCATGGCTCTGAGAGGAGGGGTCTTGCCAAAATAAATTACTGCTTGATCAACAAGACCTGAAGTTGCAGAAAGAGGTGGGGGAGATGCTGTGACACCCGTGATCTCTGTACCTGGTACAGCAAGGCACATGCAGCTCCTTGTGGTTCAGAGGTGGGTAAAAAGGCAATGATCTGGTTAGGAGTGTTTTATAGAGTGCAGGGGGAACTGTTTGTGTAATCCAGCACCCAGCAGCAGGGGATGTGTTCAGGATGACACAGCTGTCTAAGGATGTCATCCAGCACATACCACAGGGCCCATTACTTCTGTGCTAAAGACTGGGCCATGCTGCACAGAGTTGTCCTGCCCAACTCCAGATGTGCTGTGGATTTAGGTTTAAACTGTATGAGGATTTGTAGTTGGCAGGGTGCGTGTGCAGCATGGAAAAAAAGATTGTCCTGGTTGGAGAAATTGAGCTTGTCCAGAATGCCTCAGAGTAGGATATACATACGGAGAATTACTTAATTCTCCTTGTTTTGCAACATGTTTTCCCAGCTGTTGGAGTCTGCTGTCTCATTCAGCTTCCTGACAGCAGTGCAAACATTTTGAAAGTCCCGTGGCCCCATCTCATGCTCTGTTCAGGCATTCTTATTGCCGTTATCCATATGTTTTTCCTTGAGTCTGTTTATTTGGATTTGATTGTTACTTGGAGCTTAGCCCCATAGCTTTAGTACAGAGCAGAGCCAAAGGTGGCATTTGCTGTGGCAGACCCCTTGCTAATTTCTTCTTGGTGGCAGTGACCTTAAGTCCCAACTCCTGTGCTTAAATTCCCATCCTCCTGTGTCTCTTAAGAAAATTTGCTGGGACAAGGAAGAGAAGGAAGTGTGGTGAGGATGACCTTGTTAGAGAATGGTTTGGGTTTGGGTTGAAAGGACCCTTAAAGACCATTCATTTTCACCCCCCCACCATGGGCAGGAAATTTTCCAGGAGACCAGGGGCTCTATCCTGGCCTTGAACACTCCAGGGATAAGCTTGGGAATGGAGCACTCATGCCTGTGTCCACTTGGATCTGGAGACCTGTTTCCCACATGTCCATGTCAGCAGAATTCTCCAAGCCATCTCTTCATGGCTCTGCCACCTTTCTCCTGAGCACTGCATCCCTGACACCTCCTGCTCTGGAGCTCTCCGCTGCGCCCTTTTTAAACTTGCAGCGCACATGGGAACTCTCCGGGTGCTCTCGGTGCCAAAACCACAACAAATGGCGAGTTTCCGTCTGTCAGCTCGGCTCAGCCCGGCTCAGGCTCTCCACGGCTGGGCAGGCAATTTTCATTTTTCTTCCATAAAAGGACATTGAAGCTCGGCTGCAGCAGCGGTGCCGGTGCCGAGCCGCAGGCAGGGCGAGTGCGATGCTATCGGAGCGCGGCTCATTCCCTATCTCAGCAAAGGGATGGGCCGGAGGGAGGGACCAAGGTCGAAGGTGGGGTTGAGGTGATTGGAGGCAGCAGATAACACCCTGGTAGGTTTTATTGCCAGGTTCTAAAGGGAGATAGATAACAGGAGAGAGCTTGTGGTAGAGCAAACCTTAAAAGTACAGTCCCGTGGAGGATGGACACGTGCGCTGAACCGTGTGGGCTGTCCCGTCGAGATGGGGAGGGTCAGAGTTACTTGGGAAGTGTTGAGATCTTCTTATCCCAGATTTATACTGGGCAAGCTACTTATCCTGGGAGGAAACTGCAAGGGGAACAAGGGAATTCCAGGGGTACTGTCTTACACCTTGATTTTTGCTGTGTGCTTGGACTGGGCTGGAGCAGTTGCAAGAATTGAGTGGTGCCAGCAGTAAGTTGGTGGTAAATTCCCCTTTCCAGAGAAGGAGGTACAATAATCAGCCCCAAATCACTGCTTGCCAACTCATCACCATTTGAGACACATAGGAAAGGGCTGTAGAAGCTCTGAGAATACCTCACCTGGAAAGAGGGTAGGAGTGGGCTGGGTTAATTGCTGTGGTGGGGTGGAGAGACTCCATCAGTGGGAGCTCAGGTGCTGCTGCTGCTTTAACAAGGTCAAGTCTATTTATGCAGTGGTATGTGGA